GTTCTGGGTGGTCTTTAACTGCTAAATTAGGGAAGGCTAGCACAGATAGCCCTCGTGTAGCTTTTCGCGAAATTCAACAACAAAGTTGGCGGTGGGTGGTATTGACTAGCTGCCTTCCCTCTAGTCTTTAACTGCTAAATTAGGGAAGGCTAGCGCAGATAGCCCTCGTGTAGCTTTTCGCGAAATTCACCAATAAATCAAACCTCGTATTCTTCAACTTTGTTAACCCATCATCCATTTTGATAACTTACGATATTTTTAAACTTCCTGTCTGATTGATTTCCATATAACTTTGGACATTCTTTATATCGGAACGTGTTTTAACAAAAATATTTAAACAATAAAAAAAATATATTAGTCTTCTCGAAGCTGATGAATAAGAATAATACTCTAAAAAAGTTTTTGGGTCAAAATGTTATCTCATTTTTGTCTGGTGGCTTTTGTATATGATGTTTTAAGATTTTCATAGATGCTGCAATTAAGTTCCACCAAACAGAGACTTGGGCAAATTGGACCCTAGCCAGTAACTTAAAACCTCAGGTACCTTATACTTTTACATTTGATCACGTACCATGAAACTGCCTCATTATGTATTAATTTATTACAATGTTTGTCCTTGTATAAACGGAGTACGTGTTATTGTCAGGAAAACTTCGACTGTTTCATCCTGTCGCTATGATTTTACCATCATCCATAATTCAAGTGTATAAAAAGAAAAAAATGTAAGTGGTTTAACAGCAAGAGAAACTTGACTGTACAAGTTATTTCATTACTGTTGTACAATATTATATAAAAACTCGTTATTTCATTACTGTGTTTACCCAGAAACTCCAAAGCAACAATTAAAACACGAAGCTAAATCGTGCGTTTTAGCTAGCTTCAACCGAATTTGTGGACGCTACTTTCCAGCGTTTACCAGTAGGTGTAGAAAAAATCTGTCCGCCTGGAAATGTAACTGTGGTTTGGATATAAACTTTATAAATAACAGAGCTTCGTTGCTTGTAACATGTTTAGAGTGTAAACGTTCGGGGTGTTGAACAAAGTGGGAAAAACGTTCACACAATAGAGCAATAAAGGCAACCTGGTTTATCTGATACGCTATACCAGCGTTTCTCAACGCATGGGTCGAGACCCAAAATTGGGTCGTATGAATGTGTGCGAGAGGGTCGCAAACTGATTTTGAAAATAATGATAGTTTATATATTTGTTTAGTAAGCCAGATGTTGCTTACATGAAATATTTACTAGGTCACATCTGGTCACCAGTGTTTACATATGGGCCATAAAGGGTTGAGAACAAATCGTGTTAGACATACGACAGCGTAGTGCCGACCGTACTTAGACATACGACAGCGTAGTGCCGACCGTGCTTAGACATACGACAGCGTAGTGCCGACCGTACTTAGCCATACGACAGCGTAGTGCCGACCGTACTTAGACATACGACAGCGTAGTGTAGACACACGATAATGGAGTAACCACTATTGAATTAAAAAAAGGATATACACAAGAAGCAACTTTATCAGACCTGAAGGTTTTTGGAAAGTTGAGAATAGTAGGCAACAATTACAGTAAAATATTCTTCCAAAAATATTTCCTGAAAAAGAACTATTTATTTATTTTCGTTTCGCTGTTCTAATGATATACGAGTAACAAAAGTCTGATATCTATGGGATCATCTTTTTCTGCTCATGTATATCTCTTACCGATGTATCTGTGCTGTGCCCACCGCAGGTATCGAAACTCTGTTTTATAGCTTTATAAGACCTCAGGCCACCGGGGGCTCTTTTTTTTCCAAGATATATGAAACCGAACTATTTCTATACATTATACGCGAATATAAGTATTATATTGGGTTTTCTACCAATTATTTTGTTGACATAGGAAATTGAAGGTCTGACAGATGAATGCGGAAACAGTATTCCTTTTCAGACCTGAATAAGATATTCAGAATATGATAAGAATAAAATTAGAAATATAATCTTTCTTTATACGGTGACTCGAGGGCTCATAACTTTAAAAATCGGGGTCCGATACCCGTGATGAAAACAGCATTGTGTAGCTTTGCGATTAAACGTTAACAGCTCAAACATAAGAGATATTAGCAAGGATTGATGCTACTTATGTTTTGTTGATTTTTCACTCTCTGTTTGAATATTGTATACTGTTGACAGCTCACAAGATTTTGCTCCTATGATTATTTCAAAACTTTTACATAAAAAGTTTTTCAGTACGAGAGAGAGAAAACAAAAGACGTTAAGTACCTGACGTTTGTATTTATTTATATATTCTGTAAGTTTGCTATATATATTCACGTGGTTTCTTTTCCAGACGACAGGGTGACGGTTCGACTTCCATCTAAAGCTGACAGGTTGGTCGAAGAACGACAAGAATCTAACGAGAAAAGAGAAATCTGTGAGAAGAGAGGCTGCGTGATTGCAGGTATTTTCAACAGCTTTTATATTAGAATTTATAATAATTGTACTGGAAGTAACGACCTTTTTTGACAGTCCCATGCTTCTAAAGACAAACGCTAATAACAACAATCAATGCATCGATTGGTGAACAATCCATGGCGCGTTTTTCCTGTTACGTCACTCAAAAGTTATGCCGCTTAATCCATCCGTATTTGTCTATGTACTATACATATCACATCTCCATGTTATTATCATGTTATATTTCTTACAGCGGCAAATTTGCTTCAAAACATCGACGAATCGATAAATCCTTGCGAGGACTTTTATCAATTCTCTTGTGGTGGATGGATCGAACGGCAAGTGATTCCAGATGACAAGTCTGCCTTGTCTGTGTTTTCACTACTTCAAGACGAATTGGACAAGAAACTTAGAGGTAAGGATTGCTATTCATCTTGTTAACAGAAGATGTTTCCACAAAAATGGATGGATGAAAGATGGATGAATGAGACGAATTGGACAAGAAACTTAGAGGTAAGGATTGGTATTCAGCTTGTTGACGGAAGGTGTTTCCACAAAGATGGATGGATGAAAGACGGATGTAATGGATGAATGAGACGAATTGGACAAGAAACTTAGAGGTAAGGATTGCTATTCATCTTGTTAACAGAAGATGTTTCCACAAAAATGGATGGTATGAATGAGACGAATTGGACAAGAAACTTAGAGGTAAGGATTGCTATTCATCTTGTTAACAGAAGATGTTTCCACAAAGATGGATGGATGAATGGATAGGTAGATGTATGAAAGATGGATTGATGGGTGAATGAATAAACGGGCATAGATAGATAGAGACACAGATTTTAAATTTCACGAAATTTCGAACACTAGCAATAGTGCCAATACAGAGCAAAGTTCTGTGGAAAATAATACAACTATTAACGTAGATTTTGATTTAGTTATCAGAAAATCGATTTGATGTGAAACTAAGAAAAAAAACCCATCGCTGGTTCACTTGGTAAACCTATAATTAATTTAGCACTAATTTTAAATCAACTTGTTTATAATTGCTTCAAGGCTAGAAATAAATTTTCACCACCAGGGCAAAACTCCCGCCAGATTAATTTAAGGTTCAATCCGTCAGACGAAGCTTCTCATCCAGAGATAAACACCTGAGATGGAGTGCTTCTTCTTCTTCCCACGTGTTTTTGTTGTGAAACTCATTAACTTGTTAAAAAGCAGGTAATTACTTTATAACTATTCACTTTGTAGCCTTGAGACGCAAAATGCTTTTGTATCTCAACAGCGATAATAAAGATTTCGGAGGTTCCCCCGTGACTCTACAATTATTCGGGGCTGAGCCACAAGGTGGGCACAACGCAGTTAGCCCATTCTGTTACTTTATACTAAAACATAAGCTTCAGAAAATTATTTTATTATTATTATTAATAATAATAACAACTTCTAAGTGACAATAAAAAAAAAATTATTTGAAACCGTCTGTACTTGGTGAGACTCCATAATTACAGAATTGATGCCTTTACTGGCGAAACCATGGTCGTAATGAACTATGTATTTGTGAAACGTACAATTGTCTTGTTTTTCCCCAGTTCTGTAATAAAAAAGAATAATGTATAATAATATGTCAACCATAAAAATGTATGTTATATCCAGTGCCGCGAAGCCTTTCGTCAATACCAGTGCTCTTCTAGCCGACTGGGATATTTATTAATGATTGAGCCGATATTTATATCAGCATATTTCTTGGCAACTGTTATGGTGTGAACTGTATCAAATTTTTGAAGTTTAATGGCGTTTTTTTTTCCCCCCGATTTTATTTAAGTCGTGACACATCAGAATTAGGGTAAGGATTATTTAACACGCATCATTATTTTATTGAATTAAACTGGTAATTATTCAGGAAAAAAAAACAAAAAAACACACGATACATCTGTCCTTCAGTTCAAATTACAATCATAATTGCTCCCCCAATGGCACAGCGGTATGTCTGCGGACTTACAACGCTAGAAACCGAGTTTCGATACCCG